GCTGATTACAATTAAAGGAGGACTGCTGAAGCAGTTTTATATACTCTAACCCCCTTTTGGTTCTTGTCTTGGGCTAATCACTCAAGCTAAAAAAGTTCAGCGATTTCTATCCTGCAGAATTATAGGTTTTGTGCACTGATGGTAACTTTACCCACAGCTTTGCAGACTTCTGTTTGTCAGGTTAAGTTAGTTTGCCTTTGGCGATGAAAGCGACAGAGTATTTGAAACTGATCTGTAGCTGTCGCCTCTGGGATGGCTGTAGGGTGACGTACCACCGATCACTAAGGATCACGAGCCCCAGAGCTCTAAAATTCTCATCAATGAAATGCACACCATCCCAGAGTGTCAATCAAAGCAAATAATGATCGCTTGGAAGGCCAGTGGCTACACAAGGCAGCGCAGGGCTGCATAGGGTAGTCAGGGCTGAAAAGACTGCAGGGTGCACATTTCAGAATGATAAAGCAAAGAAGAGAAAAATAAATACATTATGCCAAAGGCAAATTGACATCTTTATTGGAAAACTGTACAAACAGAAAACAGCACACTTACAATCAATGTAGAAATAGCAACTAGATGCTTTTGGAATGATTTAAATCTTAAAGGTTCATCCTGTATATAAACATTTCTATCAGGATACAGCCACATGTCTGAATGCATTCTGGATGTACAGAAGAAAAATCAGGTGATATAATATGTTGTCTGCAATAATCACCCAACCATTTGAAGACTTACAAACAAAGCAGACAGTTTTTCTTGGGTTTGTCTTATTGCTTTGGCATGAAAAATGGTATTTTGTCTCATTTTCAAGCACCTCGTGCTATTTTATCTACTTTCAACTATGGCCAGAAACAAAACAAAGCTACTCAAAAATATGTCTGAGATCGTATGTGCCTACACGCAATAAAAATGCAGCCTAAGGCCTATACCGAATTTGATCTACCGAGCTGAACAATTCTTCATTCCTTCAGTTGTCTCGAAGCATGCACACCACCATCTGTCTTCCCAGAAATCAATGCAACAATCTGTTTAACAGATACCTCAAATAGCTAAAAAACGAAAGAAGTTGCTGTAAATCTATCACCATTTCGCGAGAATGTCACGAACAGAGAGATGGCATTGCTGCTATTTTGTTATTCTTTCATACGGGATTGGACAGAATGATACGTTTTTTTAGTACAGGCCTCAGATCAGCGGATCAAAATGAATTTGGGCTCTAGATCTTGACTGATTCAACTCCCAGAGCATTTCAGTCTTGTCCCTTTGTAGCTTCTGCAGCAGACACTACCAGACCACCACAATCACACACTATGAGTGAGACCAGACATGCTTCTGGAGCCTATCATATGTGTATTTTTCCTTTGAAAGACAAACATTGTAGATAACACATAAGGGGCTTGTGTGACATGCTGAACTTCACCCTGACCGGGACAACAACTTGACCCCTTGTGCAGCATAGAAGGCATTCTTTCTCCCCTTGTGTTGTTATGTTTCACAGCGAGCCTCCAAGGTCAGGATACCTCAGGCTTCGGGTGGTCCGGGCACTTTGTCTGCTGTGCATGTGTGTCATCACCAAGCACAAGAGCTGAGGGCTCAGCCATGAGCGAGAATATTTGACGGCTGATAACTTCAAAGAACAACGATCCAGGGACGGCTGTCGTGATCTAAATTCCATTGCTTACACTAAAGCACAGAAAGGTTGCGCCCCACGCGTAACAAGTATAAAATCCAGCCCTCCAACTTTTACAGTAAACCTTAGAATAATTAAAACTCTCATGGGCTGCATCAATACACCAGCAAAACTTTAACTAAGCTTATGATCCAAACCTAATCGTAGCTTGAAGCCTCCTTTTCATGTTGCATGTAATCTGAAAATCTGCAAGAGCATCACTTGTTGTCACCAGCAGTGGAGGGCATAGCTGGACATCGAGGGCCATGATTAATAGGTGATAAGAGTGGCATCTTTACAAGCGACATGAAAACGAGCCTCGGGCAAGAGATATGAGACTTGGCCAGAGCACTACTGCCAGAGCTCTCCGTTCAATCAGTGAGGATGACAGAAAGAGCCTTAGCGGGATCGGTGTAAAGCGCTGAGCCACTGCAGGAGGCTAGCAGGTGGGGTGGGAAAAACTATTCTTTAAACCAGGTGTTAAGAGGCCTTGCATGGTAACCTTCTGCAAGCTGCTTATGCATCACAGTAAATTGAGGAGGGTAAGCAGCAGCAATACAAGTTGTTGAATTCTGGGGGATGGGGGTGTAATGTAACATACAGAAAAGGATAGATGACTAATGAATAAGTCTTGTTTGCTTTGACACACTGCAGCTCGTTCTGCTGATCCCTTCACAGCCAACTATGTTCTGTGTGCACTTTATTCCGATTTCAGACACAACTTCATCCAAGTAAGTTCCTTGAATTCCACAAGGAAATTTTTGATGTACAAAGGGCAAACAGAGATCAGAACACTAAAAGCCTCACATCATGAAAGCATATTGCAGATTTGTATTACTGAAGTTCATACTGATGTTGCACA